GTGCTGAATAAATCAGTCCTGGATGCTAGAAGCTTCTTAAAATCCTGTTCTCAAGACTCTCCTACCAGTTAGGTAGTAAAATCATATCTAACACAATTATTAAAGAAACAGATTTTCCATTTATTCTAAAACCAAATCATAATTAGATATTGTAAAATTAAGAATTGGGATAGAGATAAAGTAAAAGCATATATGTCCTGTTGGGATTTGGGGTATTCATATATAAAGAAAATATTCTTAAATGTTTACTGTTTCTTAGTGACCTATTTAGGGTCATGTTAAAAGATACTTATTCCTTGGTTCAGATAGTCAGCCATTCAGTGACAGATTTATTTTGTGTTCCTGCCTTTGTCGCACTGTGCTGGGATATGTTCATGTTCTCCTTCCCCTTTCATTTCTTGTGTTTTTTTGTTTTTTTGTTTTTTGTTTTTTTCTTTTTCTTTCTTGTTCAGAACCACAGATAGGGTGTCTTCTATAAGAAGTCTATGCCTTGGACTGCTTGTATAGCCTACCTTTAAATAAAATCCTCAATCCTTTACCTGAAATCTTTTGTGAATTCAGAATTTTTATTTTCTAGGAACATAATATGCATATATGGCATATTATTACATAAATATTTCAGTCTGGGACAGGGCTCATTAAATAATTTAAAATTTCTGAATATTAAGATCAAGTGGAATAAATAATTTTATGTGGCTTCATGTCAGTTCAGTTTAGGTTTTGCCACCAAATGAGTTTTGAAAAATCCTGATTTTCAGAATTTTTCAGATTTTGCAGATAGAGACTGTAGAGCTATATAATAAAGGTTGGAAGAATTATGAAATAATTAGTTTAAAGTAATTAGCAAATTCCCTAATAAAGGCACAGTACAGGAGAAAGCACCATAACTCTTCTGACTTGCATTGGATTGTTACTAGCATCATGCTTAAGTGCCTCAACTTTTCCTCTTTGTCCAGCTTCCCATCCCTTCCAAAAATTGAAAAATGTCTGTCTTTCAAGAAATTTTTGCAAGTCAAGTGGTGCTGACTTTTCACCCTCTGTACCACATTCCCGAAGCACGGAGGTATTTAAGTGCTAACTTTTCTTCTTTATAAGAGTCCTTTCCTTGATTCTGCTTGTCCACTAGTGTTCTAGCTTCTTGAATATTCATTAGGCTTCCTCGTTATCAGAATTAAAAAAGAAATTCTTATTCCTTTCTTGCACCTCCTGAAAAAATACTTTTTATGGTTTTGTGTTAGGCAGTTTAAAGTTTATGATAGGCAGCTTTAAATAATATAACTATATTTATTATATATACATTTTTACTGTCACTTAGAGGTTTGAAGAAAATATTTATCAGTAGGCTACCATCATTCTCACATACTGATTTCTGAAAGATTTACAACGTGGTCAGAGTTTGTCTCCTTAGTGCTTTCAGGGCATGATATCTTAAATCATTCTTTTCATCAATTTTATGTGAACTTGAAAAGAATCTTCCTTCCCAGGCCCTTATAATTAGTCTACTGTGATTTTGTTCCTAGGTACAAAATTATTTTAGATTTTATTAGCTTTAGATTTTATCTGTGGAAGTGGCTGAACAGACTGCATTTAAAATGATAGTTTTAAGTTTTATTTCTTGAAAAGCAATGGCAAAGTAGTTATGTGTTCAGTGAACACCTGCTAAATTGCCTGGTTAGTCTGTGTTTTAATTGCCTTTTTATTGTTTATACTTTAAATCAAACTTTCTTAACTAGCTGTGTGGTTCTAGTTTGTTGTCAGATTATTATACAGTGAATTAAGTTTATACAAGGTGTTTTAGTTGTGTGGTTTGTCTAACGAAATCAAAGCGATTTTGTTTGTTGCTTCCAACATCTTGCAATTACCTCATCAAGGATCATAATTGGGAGAGTGCAGAAGATGGAGAGGAAAAATGTGTGCCCTCTGTGTGTTGGATTATGATGAGATATTTTGTTACACTGTGAAGGCAGAGTTAGCATGGGGACTACCAACTGTAATCTGGGAAGGATTATAATCATTTCCAGTTATGATATTTGGAAATGCATAACTTGGTAGAACTTAAGAAAAACTTGGGAAAGGAGATGAGATAGTGGCAAAGAAAAGCTGACATTAGTTTTGCTGTATCTGCCAGGTAATGCAAATCTTGAATGATCCTCTTCTGTTATTGCTGTAATGCCAGAGGTTTCCCCCCCGTTAGTTGGAACTGTGTAATGCACCATGAAAGAGAGAAAGTAAATATCTGGACTACGAGTCATTTTTAAAAGTGATTTGTATTAGGGTTGGGCAGGGGGGAAGTGATGATTAAATGAGAGTCCTTAGCTGTTCTGTTTTGTTTTGTTTTCTGGTTTCTTGCACACTCAGTCCTCTGTTCTCTCTCTTCTTTCCTCCCCGTGTCCATCATGTCTTCTGAAATTGCTGAGACAGAGCTAATTAACTCAAAGCAGTTCACAGCATAGACTGAAGTGATATGGCGTATTTCAAAGTCTTCTGTTCTTCTGAACCAGATTTTTTTTCCTCCTAAATGCAGATTAATAAAGCGTGCACTACAAGAGGAACAAGGAAAAGGATTTTAGTGAAGGTATCCCGATCCTGAAAAAGTCAGGATCACATACTAATGTGTGTGTCAGAGTCACATACTAATTAGGACTCATACTAATTAGCTACTAAAATGAAACAAAACAGAACCTAGTTCACAGCTTATTATAAAAAGTGATTTAATATTATGTAAAACTAAATGTATGGTTAAAATTATTATTTGCTTTAAATGTGAATCTTTTTCCCCTATGGGACACGGGAAGGAATCTGTGTTCTGGATGCTTATTACCTAATTTATTGGTTGGGCACATGTTACATTTTATTATCAGAGCCCTTATGACTAGACCTGTGTAGTAGAGCATCCAACAAACCTGCCAGTAGGAATTCTAGGCTCAGTACCTGGATGTGCCTCAGGGCTTCTGCAGAATCAGGATACTGGCCCTTGTCTTCAGACCATATTATCTCTAAGCCTCTGGGAACATGGGGTTAAGCAGTAAATCACTCATTTCTGGGATGCTGGCTTAAACATCTTTGGTGCTGAGGATAGGTGATCCTCAACTGTTTTTCTTCTCCACGTTGCACATTAGGAATATAGTATTGTCTTGCTGGTAACAATGAATCCTGGCAGTTGTGATTCTCCAGGTGTGTTTGTGATGGGACAAGTCAGGTGACACGTAAGCTCTGGTAGAGGGCAGTAGGAGGGCACTAATAGGTTGGCAGATCCTTCAGGTAAGTCTGTTATCATTGCCCTCACTATTCTTTAGAATTGCTTCTGTGGATAAAATAGGGTTTTACCCAGTATGTCAAGGCTTCAGTGTCCTTTGTAAATACGTTTTTGACTACACAGCTTCAGCCACTCTTCTCTCGCACATCTATGGAATCTTGGTGAACATAAGTGGTGTAAGCTAGGTTGTGTGATCCTGATGCATACTATAAGCCATTAGGAATTAGAGACATTTTTATTGCTGTGTTGTCGCTTTTGGTATCTCAGCATACTATTTCTATCATAAGAGCTTCTCCCGATAAACCCTTTATAAGTCAAACATTTTATAGATTTTATGCTACATGCTCGCTCTTTTCTTTTGTGTTTTCCTGTTGTCCTTCACTTTAGTTTTGACCACTGCAAGTATTAGTTTTACTTCTTATGCGATTTGCAATGCAATTGAAATACACAGAACACACGTAGAATAAAAGAGCATGACTACGCTTTCTAATGCACTAAATACACAATACTAGCTGGTGTCTGCCATCTTTGATGTAGCTGCTATGGGTCAGGGGGAGATGGGGTTGCTATTTGACTATTCAGTTCTGTGGTCCTGCAGTTACAAAATTGTATAGGAAACCAAAATATTTCAATCAAGAAAATATTCACTAATGAATCAGTGAGTTATATTATTCAAACATCCTCTTTGAAATATCTTTTGATTTATTTGAAGATAATCTGATTCAAATTGATCATAAAGTAAAATCATAAATCTTTCAAAGACTCTGTTTCATGAAGTCTGTGATATGATGGTCTAGAACATTTCTGCTCACAGGCAAAGCCATGAAACAGTGAGGATCTCCAACTAAGAATTCTTTGAATATCAAAGAAATTAAGAAGAGGACTTTAGGAAAAATGATGAAGTCCTTGAATATTTTTTACAAATGTAGTTATGTTTAAAACCATCCTATAAAAATTAAATGCGTGAAGGTGTCATAATGTGCTAATATAAAATATTGTTGGAAAAAGTCTGCCAGAAACTCCAGTTCATTCATTTTTTTGCTCATTCTAAGAATTGCATGTAGTTTTAAATAATTGTCTAAACTTATTTTAATAGTGTGTGTTCTCCTTTTTCTAGCTAGGCCCAGTCAAATCTTTTTTAGCACTATTTGTATAAAATTTTAACACCCTTTTTAAGTGGAGCTACTTGAAATGATCTTTTTTCCAGAACCAACTCTCTTGGGGAATAAGGACCCCATGTATATAAAATAAATGTGTGATTCTGCATGGATAGCCATACATTTTTGTTGTCTTTTAGTGGTCTAAAATGAATGTCAGGATTTTAATTGAAATTAATTGTGGCTAAAGTACAAATAGGCAATGTATGTGTTTTCTTACTCAGCGAGCTTAGGCAGGGATCAGGAGATTAGTTGGATCAAGCTGATTATTTTAGAAAGGCTAATAAAACCATGTGTTATATAGGTCATTTTCTGGGCCATGGAAATAACTTTATTATAGTTCTATTAATGTCTTCCATTTGTATAACATTTTATTCTTAGAAAGTGAATCATTATTTCATTACCCTTTGTAGTGTGTGTTATTTGTGATGAAATTGCGTGTTCTCCAAAAATTTTACCAGAATGTGTTCCTTATAAGTCCTCTCCGTGTGTTGACTCTATGTCTACAAGCTGAGTCTTTACACATAGTGTAAAAGAAGTAGAAATACTGTTTTAAGACCCGAGTAGTGAAGCAGCTGTTTTTGCAGGTATCTTGTGGTCTGTAATCCTTCAGAATAAGACCGAATCTCAGTGGTCTCAGTCTATGTGAGTTCCCCCACAGCACAAGTGTCTTCTGCTTCCGGAAAGCCTGTGGAAATTCAGATGAGTGCAGTTTGGAATACAGCAACTACTATTTCACAGACAGCCTATGAGGTACGTTTTCGCCATAGAACTTAAAGAGGCACCATTAAAAAAGCATAGCCAGTATGTAGTTTATATATGTATCCATGCTCCCTTTGAGTCATCACATTGGTGTATGTGAAGTGGTTAAAGTTGTGGATACCAGGGGATTTAACTGACCAGTTAAATGACACTAAAGGAAAAGAGATCCTGTGTTTCCTAGAATACTAATATCTTCTTTAGTGTGTATATCACATGTTATTATTAGTATGTTATTAGCATGTATATTGTATATCTTTGTAAGTATTGGAACTTTTTCCTGAAGTAATGAAGTCATCATTACCTAAAAAATTTTGAAATTCTTTGTTTAACTCAATTCAGTAACAATTATGCACACTGAAGTTGAGATAAATAACACCTTTTCTAAATAACTTAGGTCCTTTCAGCGTTTCATTGCAAAGGTGACGTGACACACCATAAAAGAAGGACTTCCTAAAATAGAGGAAGGTGCTTTTTACCTGAGATACAACTGTGGAAAGCCTGGCCTGAAGTAATAGACATTTTTGGAGAAAATTTCTTAAAGTAATATTAAACTGGACCCCCGCATCACTAGAAAAGTTGAATTCTTGGAGTCTCGAGTGCAAATTAAACTGTACTTCTGAAGACGCAGCCAAAAGCTAGGAACTCTAAATGAGAATTACTTTGCTTGTTAAAAGCCATTGCTGGCTGCTTTCATAAATTCATAATCCTTTAGTTAGAAAGGAGAAGATAATAGAAGTTTTGGTCAGATGTTACAGGAAACAGCCTATCTAGAAAAGGGAGGAATAGCTCCTAGAAGGCAGAAGTCACGACTTACAGTGTGTGTGCATCCTCTGTGCTTTGTGCATTGTCTGCTGGACCCCAGGCATTCGATGGCCACTGTTAGCCTGCCTAATATTTATAGTATTACATTTACCACTTTTATTTTTAATGTACTTGAAACCATAGTATAAAAAGGGTCCTGATAATTAGGAAAAATCGTTGTTCACCTAAAGCTCCTACCTTCATGAAGCATTTTCTCCTCTGAGCATCCATTAAGAGCACCATAGGACAATTGAGGTTGCTCGTATAATTTCATATATTGAATGAAAGCATTCATGCCTTTGATAGTCCTACCAACCTGAAGTTATTAGATTCCCTGGATAAACGGAAATGTGGATACTCTACCCATAAATTCTCAAAACATCTTTAAAGTAGAGTATTAAATTCTTTCTAAAATACGGTAGTTTTTTTGTTGTTGTTCTTACTAGATGTATAAATCCTTTTCTTTCAGTAGATTGCATTTCTCTTTAAAAAAATTCTCTCCTCTGTCTTTTAAAGATCTCCTTCCTAGTGCAGATGCCACCACTCGGACTGAAAGTGTATAGAATTTTGGAATCAGCAAGTTCAGACCCACATTTAGCTGAGTATGTGCTGCATAATGGTAACGTAAAAGATAAAGGAATTTTCAACATGAAGAATGTAAAAAGTACTGAAGAAGATATAACTCTAGAGAACTCCTTTGTTAAACTTCGGTTTGATCAGTCTGGGCTTTTGGAGGTATGTTCTGAATAGTTTCCAAATTCATGGAAGGCTTATCACTTTTATTATAATATGTGCAGATTATGTATGCAGAGGGGGGAAAGTCGATGCAAATACTCTGGGAGAAAGGATGGATGAGCTATATGTATCTGATATATGTGGTCCACTGTGACCACTTGCTCCTAACAAGGGTGGTCTGTGGGTGGTGCTGCTCCGTGAACTGTTACTGGTCCACAAGATAAGTATAGAAGGTGTAATGGTTGAGAAAAATGTTTGTGGAAACTCTGAAAGCACAATGACACAATAAATTTATGCCTACTGAATCTAATAATAAAAAATTTGAGTGTATATTTGGTATATCACTTTAAATTTAATTTTTCTAGTAATTCACTCTTATTGTACTTCACAAAAATATTGGTCCATGCATACTGGAAATAAAAAAAAATAAACCTGCTTCTTCAGTACAGAAAGTTTGAGAAGCACTGGTCCACATCTCTTAATTTGTGTATCTCTTTCTTCCTTAATGAAGTGTGTTCTTTTTGTTTCTATTGTGAAAGTTTTAAATTCTAAGTATTAGCTATAAAAGTATACTTTTAAATATAAGATTTTGGGTGTTCATCCAAGAATCGTGAACATTAGAGGCTGAATGTTAGCATTTTTCTGTCTGTCTTGAGGTTTTTTGGTGTTTTTTTTTAATCAACATATACATGGAACCAGATGCAACATCATTAAAATCTTAATATAGTGAGTTGCTTTTAAACATTGTTTTTATCCTTAGGAAATGATAAATAAAGAAGACAGTAAACATCATGAAGTAAAAGTGCAATTTTCATGGTATGGAACCACCAGTAAAAAGGACAAAAGTGGTGCCTACCTCTTCTTGCCTGATGGGGAAGCCAAGGTAAGTGCCAATGAACTGAGCTGTGAATAAGCATTTATTGAAAGAGTAATGAAGAAAAAAATAAGTTCATCTCATTATTTTGTCATCTGTTAGGTATAGATGAGTTGGTTCCACTATTATATTTCCTTATTGACACTTGGCAATCGGTAGTCGTGAGTGTTAGGTAAACAAATAATTTTTCAGGGTTGGAATTCATTAAGGTGCTACAATGAACAGTTGCTCTCCATGGAAAGAAGCCAGATTTGTTGGAGGGTTCAGGTGCTGTTGTGGTGTTCTGTGTGGCACAGCACATATACAGAGACAAATTATCTAGCCATAGGAGAAAAATAAATTGTCCAGTGGGCCATTTTTCTCCTTAACTTTCAGCACTTTAAAAAACAAAAAAAATTTTCCCTCCCCTTGACTGTAAAGGTGTAATAATATATACAAATTTTGGCACATTTTTGAAAATGCAGAAAACTGAAGAAAACAATAAAATTTACCAACTATTCCAAAGGCCATGCAAACCACTGCCAACATTTTGATGTATTTTTTATTGTCTTACTATGCATATCCCTTTCTCCCCCATTTTCACTGTTGTGACAGTGCTCACAATCAAAAGGTATATTCTTCGAAAACACATTTTTAATATATACTGTTGTGATTAAAGGTCTGAGGGTCCAATGTCTAACATGGTGACTGTAGTTGATAACACCGTATTATATGATATGCTGAGAGAGTAGAACTTAAATGTTTTCACACACACAAAAATGTATATATATGTAAAAAAAAAAAAAAAGAATTTCCTATTGTTGCATATGTAGATTTTCTCCCAAATACTTCACTACTGTAACATTGTGATAAGCTTTCTTTGTAGCATTCTTTTTATGCAGTGATGATTATTTCCTGAGAATAACTTTCTAGAAGAGTTATTTTGTGTCAGTGGATGAGGCCTTTAAGACTTGATACAGGGGCGCCTGGGTGGCTCAGATGGTTAAGCGTCTGCCTTCGACTCAGGTCATGATCCTGGAGTCCCGGGATCGAGTCCCGCATCAGGCTCCCTGCTCGGCGGGGAGTCTGCTTCTCCCTCTGACCCTCCTCCCTCTCCTGCTCTCTGTCTCTCATTCTCTCTCTCTCAAATAAATAAATGAAATCTTTAAAAAAAAAAAAGACTTGATACATACTGGGGCGCCTGGGTGGCTCAGTTGTTAAGCATCTGCCTTCGGCTCAGGTCCTGGTCCCAGGGTCCTCGGATGGAGCCCCGCATCAGGCCCCCTGCTCTGCGGGGAGCCTGCTTCTCCCTCTCCCACTCCCCCTGCTTGTGTTCCCTCTCTAGCTGTGTTTCTCTCTGTCAAATAAATAAAACCTTAAAAAAAAAAAAAGACTTGATACATACTATTTCTCTGTCCTCTAAAGTGACTGCATAAATATTCGCTCCCACCAGCATTTTTTTTTATAGTAAGAAAAAGTTAATTCATTTTTTTATTTTATTCTTATGTTAATCCCCATACATTACATCATTAGTTTTAGATGAAGTGTTCCATGATTCATTGTTTGTGCACAATACCCAGTGCTCCATGCAGAATGTGCCCTCCTCTAATACCCACCACCAGGCTAACCCAGCCTCCCACCGCCCTCCCCTCTAGAACCCTCAGTTTGCTTTTCAGAGTCTATCGTCTCTCATGGTTCGTCTACCCCTCCGATTTCCCCCGCTTCATTCTTCCCCTCCCGCTACCTTCTTCTTCTTCTTTTTTTTTTTCTTAACATATATTGCATTATTTGTTTCAGAGGTACAGATCTGTGAGATTCAACAGTCTTGCACAATTCACAGCGCTTACCAGAGCACACACCCTCCCCAGTGTCCATCACCCAGTCACCCCATCCCTCCCACCCCACCCCCCACTCCAACAACACTCAGTTTGTTTCCTGCGATTAAGAATTCCTCATATCAGTGAGATCATATGATACATGTCTTTCTCTGTTTGACTTATTTCACTCAACATGATACTCTCCAGTTCCATCCACGTCGTTGCAAATGGCAAGATCTCATTCCTTTTGATGGCTGCATAATATTCCATTGTATATATATACCACTTCTTCTTTATCCATTCATCTGTCGATGGACATCTTGGCTCTTTCCACAGTTTGGCTATTGTGGACATTGCTGCTATAAACATCGGGGTGCACGTAGCCCTTCGGATCCCTACTTTTGTATCTTTGGGGTAAATACCCAGTAGTGCAATTGCTGGATCATATGGTAGCTCTATTTTCAACTTTTTGAGGAACCTCCATACAGTTTTCCAGAGTGGCTGCACCAGCTTGCATTCCCACCAACAGTGGAGGAGGGTTCCCCTTTCTCCGCATCCCTGCCAACAACTGTTGTTTCCTGACTTGTTAATTTTAGCCGTTCTGACTGGTGTGAGGTGGTATCTCATTGAGGTTTTGATTTGGATTTCCCTGATGCTGAGCGATATTGAGCACTTTTTCATGTGTCTGTTGGCCATTTGGATGTCTTCTTTGGAAAAATGTCTGTTCATGTCTTCTGCCCATTTCTTGATTGGATTATTTGTTCTTTGGGTGTTGAGTTTGATGAGTTCTTTATATATTTTGGATACTAGCCCTTTATCTGATATGTCATTTGCAAATATCTTCTCCCATTTTGTCGGTTGTCTTTTGGTTTTGTTGACTGTTTCCTTTGCTTTGCAAAAGCTTTTTATCTTGATGAAGTCCCAATAGTTCAGTTTTGCCCTTGCTTCCCTTGCCTTTGGCGATGTTTCTAGGAAGAAGTTGCTTCGGCTGAGGTCAAAGAGGTTGCTGCCTGTGTTCTCCTTTAGGATTTTGATGGACTCCTGTCTCACATTGAGGTCTTTCAACCATTTGGAGTCTATTTTTGTGTGTGGTGTAAGGAAATGGTCCAGTTTCATTCTTCTGCATGTGGCTATCCAATTTTCGCAACACCATTTGTTGAAGAGACTGTCTTTGTTCCATTGGACATTCTTTCCTGCTTTGTCAAAGATGAGTTGACCATAGAGTTGAGGGTCCATTTCTGGGCTCTCTATTCTGTTCCATTGATCTATGTGTCTGTTTTTGTGCCAGTACCATGCTGTCTTGATGATGACAGCTTTGTAATAGAGCTTGAAGTCCGGAATTGTGATGCCACCGGCTTTGCTTTTCTTTTTCAATATTCCTCTGGCTATTCGGGGTCTTTTCTGTGTCCATACAAATTTTAGGATTATTTGTTCCATTTCTTTGAAAAAAGTGGATGGTATTTTGAAGGGGGTTGCATTGAATGTGTAGATTGCTCTAGGTAGCATTGACATCTTCACAATATTTGTTCTTCCAATCCATGAGCATGGAACGTTTTTCCATTCCTTTTTGTCTTCCTCAATTTCTTTCATGAGTATTTTATAGTTTTCTGAGTACAGATCCTTTGTCTCTTTGGTTAGATTTATTCCTAGGTATGGTATCTTATGGTTTTGGGTGCAATTGTAAATGGGATCGACTCCTTAATTTCTCTTTCTTCTGTCTTGTTGTTGGTGTATAGGAATGCCACTGACTTCTGTGCATTGATTTTATATCCTGCCACTTTACTGAATTCCTATATGAGTTCTAGCAGTTTTGGGGTGGAGTCTTTGGGGTTTTCCACATAAAGTATCATATCATCTGCAAAGAGTGAGAGTTTGACTTCTTCTTTGCCAATTTGGATGCCTTTGATTTCTTTTTGTTGTCTGATTGCTGTGGCTAGGACTTCCAATACTATGTTGAATAGCAGTGGTGATAGTGGACATCCCTGCCGCGTTCCTGACCTTAGGGGAAAAGCTCTCAGTTTTTCCCCATTGAGAATGATATTCGCTGTAGGTTTTTCCTAGATGGCTTTTATGATATTGAGGTATGTACCCTCTATGCCTATACTCTGAAGAGTTTTGATCAAGAAAGGATGCTGTACTTTGTCAAAAGCTTTTTCTGCATCTATTGAGAGGATCATATGATTCTTGTTCTTTCTTTTGTTAATGTATTGTATCACATTGATTAATTTGCGGATGTTGAACCAACCTTGCAGCCCAGGGGTAAATCCCACTTGGTCATGGTGAATAATCCTTTTAATGTACTGTTGAATCCTATTGGCTAGTATTTTGGTGAGAATTTTTGCATCCATGTTCATCAGGGATATTGGTCTGTAATTCTCCTTTTTGATGGGGTCTTTGTCTGGTTTTGGGATCAAGGTAATGCTGGCCTCATAAAATGAGTTTGGAAGTTTTCCTTCCGTTTCTATTTTTTGGAACAGTTTCAGAAGAATAGGTATTAATTCTGCTTGAAATGTTTGGTAGAATTCCCCTGGGAAGCCATCTGGCCCTGGGCTTTTGTTTTTTGGGAGATTTTTGATGACTGCTTCAATTTCCCTAGTGGTTATAGGTCTGTTCAGGTTTTCTATTTCATCCTGGTTCAGTTTTGGTAGTTGATACATCTCTAGGAATGCATCCATCTCTTCCAGGTTATCTAATTTGCCGGCATAGAGTTGCTCATAATATGTTCTTATAATTGTTTGTATTTCTTTGGTGTTGGTTGTGATCTCTCCTCTTTCATTCATGATTTTGTTGATTTGGGTCATTTCTCTTCTCTTTTTGATAAGTCTGGCCAGGGGTTTATCAATCTTGTTAATTCTTTCAAAGAACCAGCTCCTAGTTTCATTGATCTGTTATACTGTTCTTTTGGTTTCTATTTCATTGATTTCTGCTCTGATCTTTATGATTTCTCTGCTCCTGCTGGGTTTAGGCTTTATTTGCTGTTCTTTCTCCAGCTCCTTTAGGTGTAGGGTTAGGTTGTGTACTTGAGACATTTGTTGTTTCTTGAGAAAGGCTTGTATTGCTATATACTTTCCTCTTAGGACTGCCTTTGCTGCATCCCAAAGATTTTGAATAGTTGTGTTTTCATTTTCATTGGTTTCCATGTATTTTTTTAATTCTTCTTTAATTTCCTGGTTGACCCATTCATTCTTCAGTAGGATGCTCTTTAGCCTCCATGTATTTGAGTTCTTTCCGACTTTCCTCTTGTGATTGAGTTCTAGTTTCAAAGCATTGCGATCTGAAAATAGGCAGGGAATGATCCCAATCTTTTGGTACCGGTTGAGACCTGATTTATGACCTAGGATGTGATCTATTCTGGAGAATGTTCCATGGGCACTAGAGAAGAATGTGTATTCCGTTGCTTTGGGGTGGAATGTTCTGAATATGTCTGTGAAGTCCATTTGGTCCAGTGTGTCATTTAAAGTCTTTATTTCCTTGTTGATCTTTTGCTTAGACGATCTGTCCATTTCAGTGAGGGGGGTGTTAAAGTCCCCCACTATTATTGTATTGTTGTTGATGTCTTTCTTTGCTTTTGTTATTAATTGCCTTATATAACTGGCTGCTCCCATGTTAGGGACATAGATATTTACAATTGTTAGATCTTCTTGTTGGATAGATCCTTTAAGTATGATATAGTGTCCTTCCTCATCTCTTATTACAGTCTTTCGTTTAAAATCTAATTTGTCTGATATAAGGATTGCCACCCCAGGTTTCTTTTGGTGTCCATTAGCATGGTAAATGGTTTTCCACCCCCTCACTTTCAATCTGGGGATGTCTTTGGTTCTAAAATGAGTCTCTTGCAGACAGCATATCGATGGGTCTTGTTTTTTAATCCAGTCTGATAGCCTGTGTCTTTTGATTGGGGCATTGAGCCCATTTACATTCAGGGTAACTATTGAAAGATAGGAACTTAGTGCCATTGTATTGCCTGTAAGGTGACTGTTACCGTATATTGTCTGTGTTCCTTTCTGGTCTAGGTTGCTTTTAGGCTCTCTCTTTGCTTAGAGGACCCCTTTCAAGATTTCCTGTAGGGCTGGTTTTGTGTTTGCAAATTCCTTTAGTTTTTGTTTGTCCTGGAAGCTTTTTATCTCTCCTTCAATTTTCAATGACAGCCTAGCTGGATAGAGTATTCTTGGCTGCATATTTTTCTCATTTAGTGCTCTGAATATATTCTGCCAGTCCTTTCTGGCCTGCGAGGTCTCTGTGGATAGGTCTGTTGCCAATCTAATGTTTCTACCCTTGTAGGTTACATATCTCTTCTCCCGAGCTGCTTTCAGGATTTTCTCTTTGTCTATGAGACTCGTAAGTTTTACTATTAGATGTCGGGGAGTTGACCTATTTTTATTGATTTTGAGAGGGGTTCTCTGTGCTTCCTGGATTTTCATGCCTGTTTCTTTCCCCAAATTAGGGAAGTTCTCTGCTATAATTTGCTCCATTATACCTTCTGGCCCTCTCTCTCTTTCTTCTTCTTCTGGGATCCCAATTATTCTAATGTTGTTTCGTCTTATGGTACCGCTTATCTCTCGAATTCTGCCCTCGTGATCCAGTAGTTGTTTATCTCTCTTTTTCTCAGCTTCTTTATTTTCCATCATTTCATCTTCTATATTACTGATTCTCTCTTCTGCCTCATTTATTCTAGCACTTAGCGCCCCCATTTTTGATTGCACCTCATTAATAGCCTTTTTGATTTCTACTTGGTTGGATTTTAGCTCTTTTACTTCTCCAGAAAGGGTTTCTCTAATAACTTCCATATTTTTTTCAAGCCCAGCTAGTATCTTTAAAGTGATGATTCTGAACTCTAGATGTGACATTGTACTAATGTCCGTATTGAGTATGTCCCTGGCAGTCGGTACTACCTCTTGTTCTTTTTGTTGAGGTGATTTTCTCCGTCTTGTCATTTTGTGCAGAGGAGAATAGATTAATGAGAGAACAAAATGCTAGCAGAGTAACAATGTCCCCAGAAAATATACTCTAAACAAATCAGAAAAGACCTGAAGCAGTGGAAAAAAAAAATGGAAAGAGAGAAAAAAGAAAAAGAAAAAAAAGAAAAAGATAAAGATAAAGATAAAAACAAACAAAAACAAACAAAACAAAACAACAACAACAACAACAACAACAAAAACAGAATGTGATCAAATATGATCAGGCTGGTATATAGATCAGTGCCACACACTAGATTTGGGGTGTATTTTGGTCTTTTAGAAGAAAGTGCCTCCCAAAATTTTAAAGAAAGAAAAACTTATATATGTACAAAAATAAGGGTTGATATGATGAAGGGAAGGAATATGACTGTAAAGATGGAAATTATAAAAAAATTTTATAAAAGGAATTGATAAGAAGTTGTTTGAAAAAAGAAGAGAGGATTTAAAAAAAGAAAAAGAAAGGGAAAGAATGTGATCAGGCAGGGGAATAGAAAACACCATATACTAGAGATTTAGGGTATATTTTAATCTGTTAGAAGAAACTATCTCAAAATTTTAAAGAGAGAACAACTTATATATATATGCCAAAAAAAGGGGTAACTACTATGAAGGGATAGAATATGACTCTAAAAATGAAAAATAAAAATGTTTTTTTAAAAAAGGGATTGATAAGATGTTGGTTGAAAAAGGGAAAAAGAAAAATTCAAAAAAAACAAAAGAAAAAAAAACAGTTAAAAAAAATTAACTTTGAAAGACTAAAGAATCATGGTAAAAAAGCCGTGAATTCTATGTGCAGTAGTCCCCTAGCGCTGGAGTTCTGCCGTTCTCATTGATGGGTGAACTTGGTCTTGGCTGGCTGTTCTCGCTGATCTTCCGGGGGCGGGGCCTGTTGCCGTGGTTTCCAAATGTCTCTGCCGGAGGCCAAATTGCCCCGCCCTTGCCCCCTCCCGGCTAAGTAATCTGCTTGCATTTGCTCTCCGGGGCTTTTGTTCCCTGCGAGCTTTCCGTACAGCTTTGGAGGCAGAGAGTGAAAATGGCGGCCTCCCAATCTCCGCCCCGGAGGAGCCGAGAACTCGGGGCCCCGCTCCTCAGTGAGCCCCCAGAGAAAAGCCGCCAGTCACTCCCATCTCCCCGGTCTCTGGCCGCACTCAGTGCTCACCTGGCCTGTGACCGCGCGTTTCTCTCTCTGGCACCCGACCCCGGGTGGAGTCTCCAAACCCAGCAGATCCCTGCGGTGCACTCCCGCGCGGCTCCTCCCGGGGGAGGAAGGGGAGTCTCCCCGGATCTGCCGCTTGTCAGGTCCCTGCTGGAGGAGCAGGGGCCCGACTGTGCCGCGGATCACGGTCAATGGCAACCCCGAGCTGAGACCCCGCGCCTGGGCTCCGCCTCTGCAGCCGGCTTCCCTGTTCCGTTACCTGGGAGCTCTGCCGCACTCAGGCACCCCCGGTCTTTCTGTGACTCCGAGGGTCCTGAGACCACACTGTCCTGGAGGGTTCCACCCCCCGCTTAGCCACCAGAGTGACGTCCCTCAGCGGAGCAGACTTTTAAAAGTTCCGACTTTGTGCTCCGCGGCTCTATCACTCGCCAGAAGCGGCCGACGGAGGCCCCTCCCCCGCCGTCTAGCCTCCCGAATATCGCCTCGGATTCACTTCTCCGCACGTCCTACCTTCCAGAAAGTGGTCGATTTTCTGATGAGAGAGTTGTTGCTCTTCTTTTCTTCGATCTCCTGTTGGGTTTGTAGGTGTTCAGAATGGTTTGATCCCTATCCAGCTGAATTCCTGAGAGGAGACGAAATCCAGGTCTCCTACTCCTCCGCCATCTTGCTCCGCCCCAGGCCTTGAATCTTCATAGGGTTTCTCTCCCACTCTTGGGAGTACATTTGTTGTACCAATACCAGCAACATATTCACCAGTTCTGGCTCACCCTGCTTGAATAATTATATGTCGTCAATATGATGGAACCAAGTGAGGTTTTGTGGAATGTCCAGAAGGCCCATGTCCAGGGGGTGCTGGAGCTGCCTCCTATTGTTTCATGAAAGGAGCACCTGGGTGGCTCAATGGGTTAAGCATCTGCCTTCAGCTCAGGTCATGATCCCAGGGTCCTGGGATGGGTCCCCTCGTTGGGCTCCCTGCTCAGTGGTGAGTGTGCTTCTCCCTCTCCCTCTGCCACTCCGTCCCCACCTCCCCACCTCCCCATGCTCTCTCTCTCTCTCTCAAATAAATATTTATTTTTATTTTATTTTATTTTATTTATTTTATTATTTATTTATTTTATTTAAAATCTTTGAAAAAAAATATGAGAGCTGTTAGATTTTCAGGCATTTTGCAAACCAGTTGTTAAATACAGCTATTAAAAATAAGTCATTATAAATTTATAAGTTATATTAAAAGCAGAGATAATATTTAAAACTGATCATTTCCTCGCTATTTTACTATATTCTGTGATTTTTTTAACTTTTATTTTCCTTTATTTTATGCAGAATTTACTCCCAGGCCATAAACTTTTGTTTCTTCAGTTTCTTCTGGGATATCTTTTTCTTCTGTGCAACCTCCCCTTCTGGTTTAGGAACAATCTGCTCTTTTTCAGTAAGGATGATCTCAGTGTGGCAGGGATAGCTCACGTGTGGGTGAATCCGACCAGGAACCCGGTAAGTTCTGTGTCGCATCTTGGGGGTTTTGTTCACCTGGATGTGCTCAATGGCCAGAGAATCTACATCTAAACCCTTAAGCTCAGCATAACTCTCTTCATTTTTAAGCATGTGCAGGAAAAATCAGCACTCTTTTTGGGCCACCAGCCCCATGTCCAGCCCCACTGTTTGGCCAGGGCACACCTCCCAACTCCACCATTGTAGCCAGGGAGTGGTGCACGCTGCTTTTGCAATGTGACATCCTTCAGACACTTGGTGGCTTTCCAGATATGCATATTTTTGATGGCCTGGGCAGTTTCAGGTGTTTTCCTAAAGTGAACACAAAGATTCGAACCTCTTGATTCGCATGATTTTGTAGGGTTATCTGGGTAAAGTGAATAGTGAAATATTTCCAGAGATCACCTCAGGCTGCTTATGGGAAGAGCTATATTTTATGCTAAACTGTGCTTATTGACATCTATTGTGTCTCTATGATTAAAAAAAAAATACTATGATATACTGCGTGGGGGTGTGTTACCATGTACAGCTCTCCAAATCTGCATTTTCAGTAAAGTCATGCTGGCAGCTTAAAATTGGGTATGGTAGAAATATTCCCTCTGCAGAAATCAGCAAATAGGACAGACCACACTTTTCTGCCTGTAGTACCAGCACACGCTGTCCACGTCCCTTTGGACCACGTTATGATGCCAGAGTTATGATACAGTAACATAAACGTACAGTTTTACACACACCGTGTAGATGCGAACTGCTTCTCGTCCTCCATCCTGATAGTATTTGAAAACACATTCACCAGTACCCAAGAGCCATGTAACCGAGCCCCAAACCATGTTAATCAGGCATGAAAGCTGTAGTTAGGACAACTACCTGGTTGTGTTTCTGGTGGCTCATTGTCTTCTTCCAGGATCTGGTCGGGTGTTTGTAGTGACCAGAGTGGTCAATGAAGTGGACAGGATAGGAACAACCACCTCCTGCATCAATCTGCACCATTTCCTTTGGATTGTGATATTGCTCTGGACTTAGTGTCTTTGTGGAGAAGGGAGTACAGATTCGGGACTCCCCCTCGGCATCCTCCTACCATATCACTTACTCCACTGGCCCAAGAACCAATGTGGGGATTCTGCCAAACACCAGGTGTATGCATTCCAATTACACATTCAGGAACTATAAAAATGACTACCAGGTAGGTCCATGGACCTCACAGAGCCACTGTGATTTGGACCAGGGCCAGGGTGCCATTGATTAGTTGACCCCATGAGCCCCTACTGCAATGGAGGATAGGCATGTTAATGACTCAGCTATGTTGTATGAGCCCTAGACTGTTCCAGCCTTAAGGTTTTGTAATTCTGTGCTGTTGCAGTCAGGTCTAACTCAGACAGAAGTCGATGGAACAGAAGGAAGTTGAGTACTTTAAAAAATGGGATCCTACATGGTTGGATCAGAGGCTTGGGGGAATATCTAGAAGCCTGGGGGAGTCTCTGGAGTGGTAGGGAGGAGACCACCTTGTTATTCCTGACAGAAAGAAGCAGTGGGGGACCTCTTTACCTACCACAGGGATAGCAAATGCTGGCATGGTTCCTCTAGATAGTCCCCTGCCTCTGTACCACAATCAAGGACTAATTGTCTGTGGACTGTGGGACCCTAAGGTCTTAATAAAATTAATGAACTTTGTCTCCATAGGATGGGAGTTATGCAATCCCTCCCTCTAGCATCAGATCAACCCTTCTAATCCCTGTGCCTCTGAAACAACCTACCTTCTCCCCAGCCCGAGGGCAAATGCTGTTCACAAGCAGGAGCCTCTGACCTCTGGGGCCTCACCTTCCCTGCAGGGACGTGGTGCGCTGAGGGTGGCGTGCAGCCCCTGCAACCAGCCCACTTAGGTTCAAATATCAGCTCTCGTGCTCACTGACTGTACTGTCTGAGACAAGGTGTTTAATCTTTCTTTGCTTCAGATTCTCTACATCAAAGGGAGAGGGTGCACAGAGTTGTTGTGTGGGTGATCAGAGGCTTGCTAGTAAGTATTTGGCAACCAGTTTGGTTGGGGGAAATACAGCCCCCGATTGAAGGGCTAGCCAAGTTCTGTGGCATAAATATTCCTACAATGGCTGGTCCAAGCTACCAATAGTTTAATTCTCTCTCACAAAAGTCCCCCAAATTTAACAGTCAGGAGCTAGTATGAGCCAACTCCTGCACATCCCATGTCCATGTGCCTAGAGAATTGTTGATTCTGCAACAGACAAATACAAAGACTCCTAAGGGATGGAGACTTCTAAGGGATTCACCTCAATCAAGCACGTTAATTAATGACAATAACAGCATTATGTGGAGGCAAAAGTTCTAGGGCTCAGTGGTTGGAAGTAAGGACCACAAATCAGCCAAACATCATCATCAGGACTCTACTTCCCTTATACTATGGATGTGGACTGTTCAGGCATACTGTACGAGGTGTAGGAGTCTCAGGATCTACACTGAGAATCCACTGGTTGAGGCCATGGCCCTGGCTGGTGAGAGAGCTCATGTCCCCAGTCTTAGAAGTAGTTGGTGGCCTCATCTCTCTGGGCTAAGGGATGGCCAGTGCCTCTATAAACATCCAGAAAGAGTGGGAAAAGGCTAGACAGGAAAGGACCATCTAAGTTTTGTGCCCTGCTAGGGCCTCAGTCTCCCCTTTTGCAATAACCGATAATTCATACTTCACAGGATTTCTTTGTGAATGTAATGAAATAATGTACTTTGAACTTTAAAGTGTTATCATTTTTATTCCACTTGTAGAAGAAGAGTGAAGAAACTAGAGTGGGGGTGGAATTGAGTGCCCAGTGCTCTTGGATGTTACCTCTGGAGTTTCTGCTGAGTCTTCAAGGTACCCTTCTCCTTTCAGGTAACCTGGATGGGGAGGACCATGCTGCAGAGCGAACAGTGGAGGATGTTTCCCTCCTAAAGTTCATGCTGGGCACCTTCCCAGGGTGTCTGACTGTCCAGCTGATCTTAAAGCGCTGGGCTAACCAGTTGGAGATCTGTGCCCTGGTCCTGAGGGCACAGAAGTTCTACTTCCTGGTGGGCTACAGTGAGACTCTGGTGTCCCACTTTTACAAATGTCCCGTCCATCTGCACCTCCAGACTGTGCCCTCCAAGGTCATGTATACATACATCTAAGACAGTCACCTTTTCTGCATCAGGCTCTAGCCTGCGAAGACAGAACCATGTGGAAAGAAGTGAAGTAGAAATGGGGAAATACATCACCTCACTGTCTCAAGGATTCCTTTTCAAAGCTGCTGTTGAATAAATAGACCTTCTCTGTTGTCTTGTCTCTTGGTTTGTCTTTCCTCCTTAGAGAAGAGAACTAGAGTAGGGTTTCTTTGAGGATGCGCCAAGGCTCCCCAAAACGTTGCCAGTTGTTTGAGGTTTGGGTAATAGCTACAGTGCAATGAGTCTCTTGTCACTTTACCAGGAACTTTACCTGGAGTTCTTTGTTTTTTCTCAAAGTGGAAGAATCCATTTTTGGTCATTATAATCAACATTAATTTTTAAAAATTTTAAATAGTTTGGACATGTGTCAAGTCAACCATGAACGTTTCTTGTAATTTTTCCACAGAGAACTACTGTGAACAGTTTCTTTTATTTCTAGATGTACTTTTTCCCTCTAGAAATACCTTAATGGATACTCAATGCTTAATAAATAAGCTTTCAATTGAACACATACTGTAGGCCACAGATTCTTCTGAGTGCTTGGAATCCAACAATGGACAAAACATTCTGTTCCAAGATCCCTACCTTCGTGACACTTGTATCCCCATGGAGGTCGGCAGGGAGGGTTAGGCAGCACTGAGGACTCCAAGCAGGTGAGCTCAGTGCAGGAGAGCATTTTAGGAGGTGGCATCTGCAAAAGCTGCATGTGGTGCTGGGTGGTGGGGAAGGGCTTGCTGACCAACTTCACTGTGACACTTGACCCTCACCTTGACCATGACCCTGTTCCACTTCACCCTGAACCTCAACTTCACACACCCTAATTCCAACTCTGAACTTGACTTATGACCCTGACTCTGATTCTACCCTAAGCTTTACCCTCATTCTAACAGTAATGCTCTCCCTAATCCTACCCACAACTTGACCTTCACTCAACCTCACTCTTACCTGAGGGTCTCACCCGGACCCTCCCCTGATCATGTCTGACTCTGACACTGATGTTGACTACATCCCTCACATAACCCTGATTTTCAGTAAGAACTTCACACTGAAAATATCCTAATGCTATCTGACCCTTACCACGACCCTGACTGTGACCTTATCCTAACTCTAACCCTGAGGCTTGCTTTGACTCTGACCATAATCCTCACCCAGACTCTCGTCATGACCTTGACCATAAAACTGACAGTCATCTAAATTTGACCCTAGCCCTGATCTTCCTTTATTGATAAACCAGATTCTGATTTTGACCCCAAAATGCAACCGTCACCCAGACTCTGTTCCTCACACAGATCTGAACCTACTCTTAACCCTGGTCTTGACCCTGATTCTAACACTCAACAACCCTGGATTGATGTGACTGATTGTCATTCAGGCCCTGAGACACCCTCACACCTTGCTGACAAAACTCAACCTTAACCTGACGCTTGTGACCTTCACTCTGTCACCGACCCTTATCCTGGACTTCATGTGAATTTAACCCTCACCCTCTTCTTGATTCTCACCCTAACACTGATCTTGACCCTTCCAGTAACAGTGATCTGACTGAACCTCAGCTGGACTTGATTATGTTCCTGACCCTCATGATCCTGATCCACCCACATACTGATCATGAAACTTCACTTAACCCTGACCTTGACCCTGAACCTTATTCAAATCCTTAACTGACACAGGCCCTTATCCTATCCTCGACTGTGACCCTGATGCACAAACTTGCTTTGATATTCACCCTATAGACTTACCCAGATCTTGACCCTGATCCATTATTTTAATTGAAATATATTTGACATATAACATTGTATAAATTTAAGGTGTACATGTTGATACATTTATGTATCTTAATACATTATATATCATGGAATGATTGCAACAATTAGCACCTCTATCATATTACATAATTATCCTGTCTTTTTAGTCATTAGAATAATTAAGTTCTAGGCTCCTAGCAAGTTTGTTGATTATAATACAATATTGTTGTCTGTGCTCACTGTTCATGATAAATTTGTACCGTTAGGCAACATCTGCCCTGTCCTCTCCACTCCCCAACCCCTGATAACCACCATTTTGCTCTGTTTTTGTGAGTTAGGGTTTTTTAGATTACACTTATAAGTGATACCCTACAGTATTTGTCTTTCTCTGTCTGACTTATTTTACTTAGCATCATTTCCACAAGGTCCACCATGTTGTTGTAAATGGCAGGATGTCCTCTTTTCTCATGGCTGTCTAATATTCCATTGTATTTATATACCACATCTTCTTTATCCATTCACTTACAGGCTATTGTGAACAACGCTGCGGTAAACATAGGAGTGCATATCTCTCTCAAAAACCCTGTTTTTATTTCCTTTGTGTGTATACCTAGAAGTGGAATCACACTGCATCATTGTTGGGTCTATTTTTAATTTTTGAGAAGGCTTCATATTGTTTTCCATTGTGGTTGAGTCAATGTACATGCATACCAGCATGAAAGAGTTCCCTTTTCTCCAGACCCTAGCCAGCAATTTGTATCTCTTGTCTTCTTGATAATAGGCCTTCTGACAGGTGTGAGTGATATCTCATTGTGGTTTTGATTTGCATTTCCCTGATGATGAGTGATGTGGAGCATCTTTTCATGTGTCTGTTGGCCATTGGGATGTGTTCTTTGGAGAAAGGTCTCGTTCCAACCATTTTTCAGTCAGATTGTTTTTGATTTTGAGTTGTATGAGTTCTTTATATATTTTCAGTAATAACTCCTTATCCAGGGTGCCTGGGTGGCTCAGTCGTTAAGCGTCTGCCTTTGGCTCAGGTCACGATTCCACGGTCCCGGGATCGAGCCCTGCATCAGGCTCCCTGCTCCGTGGGAAGCCTGTTTCTCCCTCTCCCACTCCCCCTTCTCGTGTTCCCTCTCTTGCTGTGTCTGTCTCTGTCAAATAAATATATAAAATCTTTAAAAAAAAAAAAAAACTCCTTATCCCATGTATGTCTTGCAAAAATTTTCTTCCATTCTGTAGAGTGCTTTTTTGTCTTGTTAATGGTTCCTTTTGCTGTGCAGAAGGTTTTAAGTTTCCTGGAGCCCTATTTGTTCATTTTCACTTTTGTCTTTGGTGCTGGTGGTGTCCTATTCAAGGAATCATTGCCAAAAGCAACGTGAAGGAGCTTCTTCCCTATATTTACTTCTAGGAGTTTTATAGTACCAGGTCCTTCTGTTTCGGTCTTTAATCTATTTGAGTGAATTTTTGTGACTGGTGGGTCTAATTTCATTGCATGTACTCATCCAGTTTTCCCCACCTCCCTTGTTGACAGGCTGTCCTTTCCCCATTGTGTGTTCTTGGCTTCTTTGTTGAATAATTTTTTGACTGTATAAGCAGGGGTTCACTTCTGTGCCTTCTATTCTGTTCCATTGGTCTATGTGTCTATTTTTGTCTGTCTATGCAGTAACGTACTGTTTTTATTCCTGAAGCTTTGTAGTGTAATTTGAAGTCAGGAAGTGTGATATCTCTGGTTTTGTTCTTTTTTCCTCAAGAAGGACATTTTAACAATATAAATTTTTCTGATCCATGAACAGAGTATGTCTTTCCATTTGTTTGTCTTTCCATGTCTTTGATTTCTTTTAACAAAGTCTTATAGTTCACTGTACAGGACTTTCGCATCCGTGGTTAAATTTATTCCTAATATCGTATTGTTTTTGATGCTATTGTGAATGGGGTAGTTTTCTTTATTTCTTTTTCAGATGTTTCATTCTTAGTGTATAGGAACATCAACGATTTCTGTAAGTTGATTCTGTATCCTGCAACTTGACTGACCTCTAACAGCCTTTTAGATTTTCTATAGACCGAATCATATTATCTGTAAACAGTGACAGATTCACTTCTTCCTTCCTGATTTGGATGCCTGTTATTTCTTTGTCCTAATTGCTTTAGCCAGGACTTCTAATACCAAACTGAATAAGAGTGGTGTGTGTGGGCATCCACGTCTTGTTCCTGCTTCTTGACGAAGGGCTTTCAATTTTCTCCAGCAAGTCTAATGTTAGCCATGGGCTCATAACGTATGGCCTCTAATAGATTGAGGTATGTTCCTTTTATACCTGATATGCTGAGGGTTTTTACGAAATAATGTATTTTGTCAAGTGGTTTTTCTGCATCTCTTCAGATGATCATGTGATTTTTTTCCCTTTCATTTTATGAATGTGATGGATCACATTTATTGATTTGTGTATGTTTAATGATCCTTGCATTCCAGGGATAAATCCTACTTGCTCGTGATGTATAATCCCTTTTATATGTTCTTGAATTCAGTTTGGTAATATGTTGTTGAGAGTTTTTGCATCTGGATTCATCAGAGATATTGGTCTGTAGGTTTCTTTGCTTGTGGAGTCCTTCTGTGGCTTTGGTATCAGGGCAATGCCACCCTCACAAGGTGATTTTGGAAGTATTCCCTCCTCCTCAATGTTTTGGAAGAGTTTGACAAGAATTGGTGTTCATACTTCTTTGACTGTCTGGTAGAATCTCTAGTGAAGCTGTCTGGTCCTGTGGGAGGTTTCTGTGTTGGAAGGTTTTTGATTCCTGATTCAATTTCTTTAGTCTCTATTGGTCTGTTCAGATTTTTTATTTCTTCCTGATTCAGTTTGTAGGTTGCTTGTTTCTAGGAATGGATCTGTTTCTTCTAAGTTATCTGAGTTTTTGGCTTGTAATCATTTAGTCTCACAGTCCAGTTTTTCTGCAGTCTCAGTTGTCATGTCTTTTTCTTTTCTTTTTAAAAAGTATTTTATTTACTTATTTGAGAGAGAGGGAGAGAGCACAAGCAGGGGGAGGAACAGAAGGAGAGGGAGAGAGACAAGCAGACTCTGTGCTGAGCAGGGAGCCTGATGTGGGGCTTGATCCCATGACCCTTCCCCAATCATAGCAAGTCAGGGTGGGGCAGGCTCATCAACTTCCTTGGATCTGCAACCCCCTTCACGGTCCTGTCCATCTACTTCCTGATGCACAGGTGCATGGAAATCTGGGTGTCCTGGTGTGATGAGCAGAGGCACTTTTGTTTGATTATGAATGTCGCAGTAGTTGTAAATAAAAGGGGAGAGGAAAAAAGGGAAGACTCTTGCGGCCACCATGCTGATGTCACACTTGGCCCTGATCCTGACCCTACACTCACCCTA